AGGGTATCATCATCTAAAAGTTAGAGAGCAGGATATCGAGAAGACTGCATTCAGAACTAGATATGGACACTATGAGTTCTTGGTTATGTCGTTTGGACTAACCAATGCTCCAGCAGCATTCATGGATTTAATGAACAGGGTTTGTAATCCGTTCCTTGATAAATCTGTGATAGTGTTCATAGATGACATTCTGATTTACTCGAAAATCCAAGAGGAGCATGGAAGACGCTTGCGAGAAGTGTTAGAAGTCTTGAAGAAGGCGAAGCTGTATGCAAAGTTCTCCAAATGTGATTTTTGGATTCGACAAGTCCAATTCTTGGGTCACGTGGTCAACCAAGAAGGGATAATGGTTGATCCAGCAAAGATTGAAGCTATAATGAAGTGGCAACAACCGAAAGGTGCCACAGAGAATCAAAGCTTTTTAGGATAATCCGGATATTACCGAAGGTTTATCCAAGGCTTTTCTTCGATTGCAACTCCATTAACAGCTTTGACCCACAAAGGATCTACTTATGCTTGGAGCGATAAGCATAAAGAAGCATTCGAGAAGCTAAAGAAGAAGCTATGCGAGGCACCGATACTTTCTCTACCCGATGGAGTTGAAGACTTCGCTGTTTATAGCGATGTGTCTGGGGTTGGATTGGGTTGTGTTTTGACCCAAAGAGAAAAGGTGATAGCATATGCATCTCGACAACTAAAGGAGCATGAAAAGAACTAACTTACTCATGATTTGGAGTTGGCATCCGTAGTTTTTGCTTTGAAAATATGGAGGCATTACCTCTATGGCACAAAGTGCAAACTTTTCACTGATCATAAGAGTCTCCAATATCACTTTAATCAAAAAGAGTTAAATATGAGGCAACGACGCTGGGTGGAGTTACTCAAGGACTACGACTGTGAGATACTTTACCATCCCGGTAAAGCTAATGTTGTCGCTGATGCTCTCAGCCGGAAAGTCAATCTTGAAAGAAGGATGGCAAGAGCGTTGAGAATTGAAGTTGTCTCGACAATCATGGAGAGTATAAAGAAAGCACAAGAAGAAGCTTCTGAGAAAAATGACCGAAAGGAGGAACGTTTGGGAAAAACGTTGGTGTTCGGTATAAACAGTCATGGACTAAAGGTGTTCCAAGATCGGATTTGGGTACCTAAGTCAGGAGGAATTAGAGATCTTCTGATGGAAGAAGCTCACAAAACCATGTACTCGATTCATCTTGGTAGCACTAAAATGTATAGGGACCTGAAACCCTACTACTGGTGGCCAACGATGAAGCTTGATGTTGCAAAATATGTGGCCGAGTGTGTGACTTGTGCGAGAGTCAAGACACAACATCAAAAACCATACGGGAGTTTAGAACCTTTAACTGTGCCTATGGGTAAATGGGAAGACATTGCAATGGATTTTGTCACTAAACTACCCAAAACAAAGAATGGTCACGACATGATTTGGGTGGTCGTTGATCGATTCACTAAGAGTGCGCATTTCATAGCAGCCAATGAGAAATGGTACATGGATAAGCTTGTGAATTCTTACGTGAAGGAAATTGTGAGGCTTCATGGTGTCCGTTAACGATTGTATCAGATCGTGATAGCCGTTTCACCTCAAGATTTTGGAAAAGTCAACAAGAGGAAATAGGTACCAAGTTATGTTTAAGTACAACTTACCATCCACAGACTGATGGTCAGAGTGAAAGAGCAATACAAACACTTGAAGATATGCTGAGAGCATTTACCCTGGAATTCCTAGGTAATTGGGATGAACATTTACCTTTGGTAGAATTTTCCTACAATAATAGTTTCCACTCGAGCATAAACATGGCACCTTATCAAGCTTTGTACGGACAGAAGTGTCGTACGCTGTCTTGTTGGCTTGAGGCTAGGGAAAAGCATTTTATGGGTCCCGAGATGGTCCATCAAACTGCTGAGAAGTTGAAAGTAACCAGGGAAAGAATGTTAGCAGCTCAAGATCGTCAAAAGAGCTATGCTGACAAGAAGCGAAGGCTGATGACTTTTGAAGTTGGAGATTCGGTTTTGCTTAAAGTCTCGTCGTGGAAGGGACTTATAAGATTTGGTAAAAGGGGAAAGTTGAGTCCAAGGTTTATTGGACCGTTTAAAGTTCTTCAGAGGGTTGGGAACCAAGCTTACAAACTCGAATTACCAGAAGAACTAAATGGTATTCATAAAAGTTTTCATGTGTGTTATTTGAGGAAGTTCACGGGAGAAGTTCCGGATATAATTCCAATTTCTGAATTGAGAATTGATGAAAACAAGAGGTTAATTGAAGAACCAGAGGCAATTGTTAACCAAAAGACTAAGAATCTTCGACGCAAGATGGTCTAATTAGTGCTTGTCCGTTGGAAACATTCGAATGGGTCAAATCTCACCTGGGAAACGGAGAGTGACATGTTGAGTCGCTATCCGCATTTGTTTGTTGATGTGTGATTCCAGGGACGGAATCATCCTAAGGGGGAGAGAATTGTAATGCCCGTGTTTCCAGGCTAGGCATTATCATTGATGTAATAGTCTAGGTTAACCCTTGTAACTCTTTTTGAAGTATTAATGATGAAATATTTGAGTATTATGCGAATTATGTGTTTATTTTCTTAATCATTATAATTTAATGAATTAAGAATAAAATAAGCATCAAATTTGAAGTGTGGGATAAGCCCGATTTCTTTGCATAAAGATGTAGTGGTCGAAACAAGGATTCCGAAGATATAAAGAATGCCAAAATCCGAGATATATTCGGCTTCTAATTCTTAGTTACCCCTAATATAGAGAGAAACGGAGGAGATAAAAAGGAAATAATATACAACTTTTACTAGATGATTTATTAATTATTTAAAGGATTACCATTTAAAATTTGAATTGGATTTGAAGGTGGATAGAAGGAAATTGTATATGCAAGGAATTGAAATGCAAAAGGGTAATTTGATGTGTCTATATATATATATATATATATATATATATATATATATATATATATATATATATATATATATATATATTGTCTATATATATATATATATATATGTATATATATATATATATATATATAGAGAGAGAGAGGGAGAGAGTTAGGTTATATTGTTTTTCCTAAATATTGTGTGCTTGTGTTATGCATTCTAGGCCAATCATTTATGGTAACTTAAGAAAGTGGTTTTCTTTTAAAATTAAATTGAAAAAAAAAAAAAACAAATTAATAGGATTTCATTAAATGAGTGGGCACGGAAGGGTAGTATGGTACATTGCCTCGACAATTTAATAGGAAACCGTCTATAATTATGGAAGTGATCCACCGATAATCCCAAATATCTTGCATAATATCAAAATCAAACGCCCAATGCTTTCGGAAATTGAAAAATATTCTGATTTTGTGTATTCGATTCGTCGAAGGTTTTTGATATAAATATCGACAGTAAACGCTAGAAGACGGAGTCGGTATTTGGGCGCTTCTATAAGCTTTATTCTTGAAGAATGAGGTGTACACAATCGACTTCATTCAAGTCGAAGTTCAAGAACGCAGTAGAGGCGGCATTGAATCTTGAAGATGAAATCGATGATATTACTACCGACCCTGAAGGTAAGAATTTTTTGTTTTATCTGATTTCTTTTTTATTTCTAAGATGTATTATACTCTTAGAAGTATATTTAGAATAGTTTATATGAGTTTATGTATGTATGATTTGTGTTTTGCAAAAAGAATGTGTGATTGTTATGTAATTTCCAAAGAATAATTAATGATTAGTATATTGTGCGTTGATGTGCTAAAAAAATAATAATCTGGTGGAATGAAATAGTTCTTGGTGTTGTTCTGATAGAATGGTCTATTTTTACAAACATGAAGATGTTGGTTATTCTATTAGAATAACTCATGTTCTTGTATGAGATAAAATTATAAACAAAATTTCTGTAAATAAAGAGTTAAGTAGAAGGGTATAAAGATTTTAGATTCTACTAGAATTGAAAATTGTTTATGAGTAATGACTTCAACTAAAACATTTTAAATTCCTACAGATGGGATATACTTTACATGTGTATAATTCTAGTAGAATAGAACGAAATATATGAGTGTAAGTATACCCAAGAATAGTTGATTATATGTCTTTAGTTGAAATGTCTAAGATTTTGGTAGAATTCGAATTTGTGATTTTGTTTTTTGTACTATTATAGTTGCAATAATGTATATAGTATGTGTACACTTTGTTATTAAGTGTTTATTAATGGAAAAATTACAATTTTTTGTTTATTGATAGACTATGTATGTAATATATTCTAATAGAATATCAATATGCCTTGAGTTGAAATGTGTAAGATTCTTGGTGGAATTTGACTTTGTGAATTTGTTTTTTATACTGTTATCATTGCAACAATGTGTATATTATGTTTAATCTTTGTAGCTTGATGTACTTTATATGTAATATATTCTAGCAGAATACAAATATGTGTTTTAATATAAGAATGTCAATGTTCAGAGAATAATATAGCGAAATGACATGTATGATGATCTAGTAGTTTGTTTTATATTCTGTTAGAATTGTAGTTCTGTGAGTTATTTACTTTCTTTTTTTTGTGTGTACTCTGTTGGAATGGCAATTTCGTGTGTGTTATTTTTTGTTATTAAAATAAAATTTTATTCTGTTGGAATAATAATAATGTCTTATATTTTTAAACATTAATTAAAGTAATGTGTTTTGCTTACTATACATTCTAATATTTATTATGTGTTATAGCTAACAAGTACAAGAAGAAGAACAACACGTGAAACGAGAAAGAAGGTCAAAGAAAAAATTTGATAAACCCGTTCCAGAAAAGAAAAGTCCTAAACCTTTAAATGTATTACTTTTGGAAAGAGAGAAAAGATCAAATAGAACACATGAGAGAGTTCCAATTGTAAAGAAATTAAAGAATAAGGGAATTGATGAATCTGTCAAAGAGGAACAAGAAGATAATGTTAGAAAAACAAGGAATACCCACCTGGTTTAAGATACCTTCCAACCAGAATGAAATGTGATAACATCACTTCAGCTCTTAGGGGCATGTCACCAGAACAAAAACAAGCAATCTTAAGAATGGGTTTTGGGTCAATTCTGCAAGTAAATATAACAAGTTATCTGGGGCAACTAAGCTACTACCTTTTAGATGTGTATGATGTTGATACTAGAAGACTTGTCCTACAAAACTCTGTTATTGAGATCACAGAACAGACATTCCATGATATGATGGGGTTACCAATTGGTGGAGTAGACATCAATGATTTGCCGTTGTGTGACAAGGGGAATCAAATTCTGGAAGAATGGAGGGGACAATATAGTTGTGATAAGTTCAATGGTGAGGAGTGTTTAAGAAGAATTCGTGCTACATCAAAAGATAGTTTGATGTTTAGGCTCAATTTTTTGACTCTTTTCGTTAACAACTTCATAGAGTCAATGTTGATGGGAACAAATCAAGTAAAAGTGTAAGGAAGATGGTGTTGGTACAAGACTTTTCAAAGTTAAATTGGTGTAAATATATGCTCGATTGTTTGGGATCAAGGAAAAACCTATGGAAAAGAGATGACAAATCAAGCTACTACAGTGATCCTATTACACTCCTGCTAGTAACTGTGAAATGGTGTTATATGATAGTATAGATTCGGTAGTAATCTATTATTGATATATTGATTTATTTAATGTTTTTTTTGTAGTTGGTGTACATGTATAACATGAACTATTCTATAAAGTTAGATAAAAGGCTTTCTTTTATTGGGCATATAACTGGTGCTAATTTATTAGAGATTCAATGCTTGAAAATCAGTTTGGGAGGGTTCGAAAGGCAATTTCGGGATGAGCATGACGATGTCGATATGAATGATGAAACAGGAGGTGAAGAGAAACAATTGGTCAGTTTTAAGAGAGATTTTGGAGATGAGGAGGTAATGTTACATTTTTTTGCATACATAATTACTTTGTAATTATTTGAATTAAAATTCTGGTAGAATATAAAGTAAATATTCTCATATTAAAGTTGTTAAACTATTCTGGTAATGTAATTAATAATTAATTATATGTATTGCAGGCGTACGCTGCTGTTTTAGAGCATCATTATGGGTTGATTTTAACAGAAAAAATTACTATGGAGGTTGCGTTGAAGGATGGTTTGGAAAAGTTTCCTGATAGTGTTGTGTTGAAAGAGTGGATGGAAAAGATGAATGAGCTTTTTAGGGAAGTGCATGAAGGCGCAAACAACAAAAAGTGAATGATTCGGATGGTTATAATGAGTTAAATATGAATGATATGGCTGATGGCGGTGGAGGAAATAGTTCACCTTTTAGAAGATTGGTAATTAATGAAGTTAATGTAGAGAAAGATGTAAATTATAATACACATGTTGATACCAATGCTTTAACAATGAGCCAGTTTCATTGACTTCTGGGGGGAATGATGAAATGATTAAGTTGTCGGAAGAAACTGAGTTACAGGTGTATAGAAGAAAACAACTAATGTCAGGATTCAGTGGGGATTATGTGGTTGGAAGAAATTTAGGAGAAGTTGTTGATAATGTTGCAGAAGATGCTGATAATGACAAAAAGGAAAAACATATCCCTAAAAAGGCAAAAATATTTCATTCCCTGTATATTGAAAGAATTGTTAAGGTTGGGGATAAAATGACTAAGGATGAAACAGGAATATGCAATTCAATTTTTGCATCTAATAGAGATAATGGGTAAGTATATATGAGTCGTTTATTGTTTTTTTAGAATATAAATGTAAATATATGTAGATTAGTTTTATATATAATTTGTGGTACAGCGATGAGATTTGGGACATTGGAACTAGTCATTTGTTGCACCAGGGTTTTGCATTTCAATTTACTCAATGAATGTTTATACATTCTAAAGTAAATGACTATTGGGCTGGGTTTTTAAATAAAATGGAGAACTACAAGGATGAATCATCGCTGTCAAGATTTTTCTTCGATACAACTATTGTGGTTTGAATTTTTTTGTAAACTAAGTTTAAATTCTAATTAATTTTTGTTAGAATTAATATTATTGATGATGTGGGTTTTTACAGACAGAAGAGATATTAAATGAATTAAAGATAGAAGATCTGAAATATAGGCTTTTTAATACTCTATTGTGAATCTACATTAAGAAATTTGATGTCAAGCCAAGTTTCAGAGATGTTGTGCTTGTAAGTATATTGAGTGAATGTATTAATTGTTGAATCACTCAATATTAAATTGTCACAACTAGGAATTCTATACCATGTAACAACAACAATGATAACATTTGTGAACCAAAAATGTGAAAGCACATATGATGCTTATTCAATAACAACAAATTGTCCATCAAACGCTCTATGCAAGCACTTCAAATAGTCAACAAAGAATTGGAAACCCTAGAAATCCCGGTTTAAGTCCATTATGGACTAGGACTTCCTTATTGGGCCTAATGGGCCAATAAACTTCCAATTTGACTATTTTGGGCTTAGAACTCTTAAATGGGCTCTAATTGGACCAACTTTCATTTATTTTAACATTTTGGGCCATATTGGGCCTAGAATGAAATAAAATACCCTAATGGACCTTATTGGGCCAAAAACAAAATTAAATAGCCCTAATGGGCCATAAAACTCATATTTTGGTGAATTTTGGGCCGCGAATTACTCTAAAAGGGCCAATGGGCCGAAAACCATTAACTTGGGCTCCATATTATGGATTTAAACACAAAAGGCCCAAATCTCCATCTCTCTTCTCTATCTCTCGGCCCAAGTAGAAAAAAAAAAGAATTTGAGAATTAAGGGGGATTAGCCACCTCCTTAATACCTATAGGATATCCAAGTAAATTTCACATGTTTACATGCATATCCTTTCACTTCTCTCTCTCTTATTCTTCTATTACTCTCGGCCGAGAGTATCACACACACACACACAATTATTTCACTTAAACACTCTAAAGAACATACTACAAATTCCTTCACTTCTCCTTCAAAAATTTCGAGATTCAAGGGCTTTGCAAGGAGGATTTTTCACAAAAATCATCATCTTAGGTAAGTTGATGCTTGGAGCCACACTCGAGACTCTTTGTTCTATCAAAAATCTCTTCTTAACTCATATAAATTCATGATCTTGCATCTTAGAACCCTCTATGTTCGAGATCCATCCAAGAAACTTGTTAGGGCCGAAAATAGCAACAAACTCTTCTCTTTTGTTCTTCAAATCGAAAACAACAAGAAAAGGTGAGTTTCATACCCTTTTTTCGGTTTTCATGAGTTTTATGGGGGAGAATACAAGAAAATGTGTAGATCTTTGTGTATGTGTATGCTATGTGTGATTTTATGCATGGATGTGTGTGATTTCATATGTTTTTGTGATGAATATGTTAACAAAAGGGTTGTAAACCTGAGATCTATGGCATGAGAAAGGAAACAAACATAATCTAAGCTAATTTACACCAAAAAAGTTAATGATAGCTTATAAGGTTATGATAAACATATTCTAACATAGACCCATTTTAGGGTTTTAAATTGTTAAAATACAAAACTTAGGTTTCAAATCGATAAGTCACTGTTTTGTTGAGGGTCAAAAGTGTCAAAACAGTTTCTATAATCATTTTTCTGAATAATAAAATTTTCAAGGGACTTAAAATGTAAATTTTTAGCTTAATTGGCTAATTATGGGCTTTTCGGCCCAATAAGCCTCAAAATGCGAAAAATGACAAACTTTAGGGGCTGAAATGAACTTTTCGATAAAACAGGGGGTAAATAGCATAACAAAGTCATTTTTAAGAGTCAAAAATGCTTTTACTATAAAAAAGGACCAAAAATGTAAAGTTTTTAGAATTTTGGGCCAAAACTGTAAAAGTTGTGAAAAATGGGATTCTAACTGAGAATCATCATTCTGGGAGGGCTGAAGTTATCCACGAAATAAATTTTGGGTTAAAACTGTGTTTTCATCAAATAAATGATACAAAAGTGTCAAGACAATGTTTTAAGGACTAAAAATGAAATTCTTTTATATAAAAGGACCAAAAGTGTTGTTTTATAAAAGAATGGTAGTGAAATGGTCAAAACCCACTTTTAAACAAATTAATTCAGTAATACAAAATACCAAACCCACAAACTACTGACGATACGAAAAACAAATACAATTTCAACAACAAATATCGTTATAAACGAAGTGATTCGGTCTCGAATCAATACAAAACAACAAGCGTTAAACAAAACCATCTAAAGAAATATGCGATAATTACGATGAGCAAATTTACAAACTTTGAGCTTGGAAGTTTCAAATCATGCTTGTTGGGCCTTGCTAGCCCGTTAACATGATCTTTGGGCCTAAAGGGAATATGCTTATTTGCTACCGGGCCTCCTATGACCCGATATCATGTAAAAGGACTTTCAGTGGCTATGATGTGCTATTGGGCCCTAGTGGCCCATTAATATTGCTAATGAGGTCAAGAAATCAAATGCGAGTTGGGCCAATGTGCCTTTCGCATTCCTGACAGCCTAAAATAACTCAAGGAAATAACGGGACTTCGTACTCCCTTTTTTCCTCATTTGTTAGGCTTACGAGTAATCAAGGTAAACAGATTCAGGATGTAAATCAAGAGTAACTAGGGTCGTGGATTAAGTGAGTAGTAACGGGCGACGCCATTAAGGATCGTTCGAAACTGTAGTTATAAACTAGTCATTTTCTAATGCGTAAGTATAACGACTCACAACCCAAATTAACCCAGCGCCACCCGAGAAATCAAAATCATTCGTCGTGACTGTATAACAATTGAGAAATCACTATATTTTATGTATTGGGAAAACATCAGGTTTTTCCTGGGAAGTTCAACATTTTCACTTGTGCGGTTAATACTAAAGTTCAACATTTATACATGTTTTAAAATCAACAAGCATATATTTACGGATCTTCACACTTTTTATAAACAATGATCTTTTCAGAAAATATCGGATTTTCTGGGTTTTACAAACTACACAAAATCATTTTATCACAACATTGCTTATGAACTCACCAACATTTCATATGTCGACGTTTTTCAAAATTAACTTGTATTCTCAGGTAACAGGTAAACCGAAGAATAAGTATCAAGTAATGTCAGGGTGTTTTGCGTAGGATATCTATCAGAAAATTAAGTTATGAATTTGTAATGTTTAAGACAAAGTATTGGATGTAAACAATATTGGTTATATTATTTTCATGCATGGTGATGATTTATGTTATGATTCATGTATATTCATTGTGATGGTATTCAATTTAAGTCACAAGAGCCCTAGGACGTTTCCGCCATCCGGTTCGGGGGTGTGACATAAATTAACTTTGTTTTTTAATGTATATAAGGTTTCTTCCCAATAGTTGATGATACAAAGTATTACTTACTGATCTTTGATCTGAGATCAAGTTCATATTACATAGTGGATCATGTGAAGAGAACGGGAACTTTGGATAGGAAATGTGGCATGATACCAAAATTGGTGGTAACATACTGAATAATATTCTAAACACCCAGTTTTCATTCTGAAGATTGTTTAAAAACTACGTTTGATGTATTTGTTGTATTCAATGACAAAATAAACTATTCTGCAACTACTTAACATCACAACATCATCCAATGGCAAAAGCCTTAAGCTTTAAGGCGGTGCGGGTGATAAATATATATTGGCAAGTAGAAGACTCTGGAATAGATTGTGGAATCTACCTAATGAGGCATATGGAAAGTTACAAGGGGGAAAATGAAGGGAGTTGGGAATGTGGGCTTACAGGTAAAATGACGGGTGATGTGACTGCTATACTTATGTTAAGAACGAAATACATGGCAAGATTGTTGATAGCTGATTTCAACAAGTATAAGAGTATGATAGTTACAGATTATGAAGCGTTTCGTAAGCTGGATATTTTGCAACAAAATATGCTTCTTCAAGAGTCAGCTAAAAATAGGAAGAAAAAGAGAAAAGCAAGGGGCCATCAGTAACAATTTGAAGTGGTAGTTTGGTATTTTGAAGATACATGTTGACATGATAGTATTTGAACCTTTTTTTGCGGTTTTTCAAACAAAAATCCGGTTTATATCAGCTTTTGGAAAAAGTACTTTGTCTATCAGAAGGTTTGAATAATTGGTATCAATATATAAGATTATATCTTCTAATGGAATGTTTGTTTTGGTTTAACGGTTATCTATCGAAGTTCTCTAACTTCAGCCCGGGTTTCAGCAAGTTCCCTCTGCAGATTTGCATTGCGGACCAGAGTCCTTTCATGAGCAGACTCTAGTTGGCAAATGTGGACAGTGTTAACACCAGAGTTAGCGTCAACTTCCAAAACTTGATTGATAGTCACCTGAGCCATTATCGTGTTCCGAGAAATCCTACACACCATGATTGGTAGGACTCTATCAGCAGAACCTCCTTCAGTGAGGTTGTAGAAACTTCCGTCTCAATTGTAGGGAATGGGTTGACCTTGTTCCTGACTCCATTCAGTCAAGCTAATGGCCCACAAGGGTGTGGGTCCTTGAAACACAGGACGGGGGTTCAGGTTTGGGTTTTGAGCATTTGGGGGTAGGTTGTTGACTTCTGGCTCCGAGTCAGAACTATCAGAAAAACCCTTAGCATGGTGATCATCCAAAGGGATTGGGTGATCATCTTCTGGTTCTGCCTCTAGCCAACCAGCATTGCCTTGGTTTGGGAAGTACGGATCGCCATGGTGAAATCCAACCATTTTAATCTACGCGAGAAAAGGGATATAAGAAATAGCTAAAATAGGCGAACTAACTAAGATAACTTCAATAAAATCAAATACCCATATGGTATTTCTTTATGGTTGTGTTGGTAAGTTTTTAGACTTGTTGCCACATCACAACCATTCTTGGGCATATGCTAATCACTCATCGGACCAACATAGTTAATCAAGCTATGCCATTCCCAAGACTGACCATATATCCCCAGACTTACTTGTGATATTCAACAATCGTAATACTTTTGTTCTTGTCATTGTGACACTGATTTTAGTATGAATGCAGGCACGTATACTTACTTAAATATTTTATTATTTATAAGTATAACTCTTAGACAGAGTGTTTTAATCCCTGTGTATTTATAGGTAGTATATCTTTTATGGGTTGATATACTATATTCACTATAAACAATGCTCTGATACCAATCTGTCACACCCCAAAACCACGAACGGCGGAAACGTTCAGGGGTGGAGGACGTCATGTACAGTATCACAACAGTGTAATATAATAAACAAGCAAAAACATCATCCATTGCATTATAAGTAAAGTTTTAATACATGTGTGCTCTTTCATTGTAGTAAGACACCAAAAATATACAATCAAAATAAAAGACGAGACTTGTCTACTCCGTCTTCTCAAAACCTGGCATCCGTACCTGTCTACTGATGACCTGAGAATACAAGTTATTTTGAAAGCGAGTATCAGCTTTAAAGCTGGTGAATTCATAAGTATATAAGTGTCATTACCTTGTTTGTGAAAATCTGTTATGAAGGCCATGTAAATCGTTAAATGAAAATGTTGGTGTACGTATGAAAACCCTAGAAAATCCCTTATTTCCTATCAGTTTGAGATGTAGTCTTCTACCAAGACCCGAATGTTTTGTTTATGACAATGTAGTCTTCTACCAAGACCCGAATGTGTTGTAAGTAAAATGATAGTTTTCCTTTAATTGTTTAGTACTAAAGTACTTAGTCTAACTCATCATTTATGTGAAAGTATCACAAAATAAAGTAAACAGGAAAATGTACTACTGTAAGTGTTGTCACTGGGTACTAGGACTAACACAGCATAGGTAACTGTTATCCCAAGGTACTAGGGTTAACATGACCTATATAACCTAATGAACATCCGAAGATTGTCCAATTGTCCTCTGTAGCAGCAGCAGGGGGAAGGAAGGGTTAGTCCCTGTAAAGGTACTCCTAGTATAAGTAATAACCGTAGGCATCCGTAGATGTTCATCACCCACTGTTGCTAACAGATGGGTTCCGGAATGGTTAGTCCCGTCCATATATCCCGAGGTACTTGGTATAGTGTCCTATTCTAGATATCCCAAGGTACTGGGGATAGGCAGGATAATTTACACAGAAGGTACAAATAAATTATCCTCGCAATTCGTGATACGAATATTCACATAAGTATACACTGGTAAAGGTCTCTACGTAAAGGTACTCATGTAATGTGTTCATGTATCATGTAAGCATATGTAAAGGTACTCATGTATCAGGTAAGGTACTAGTAAAGACTCATGAATGAACTGACTCTTGTGTGATTCCTTGTAATAGGAATAATGTTTTGTTATCCTCTAACTATCCCTATGATAGTAAATTGAAAGGTAATTGGTTGTACAAGTAAGTTTACACACTCTTGCTACTCAAGGGTGTAAGAAACTAAATGAAAATTGTAAACTATAACATCAATACATATATAAGAATATAAGTGTACATGCATAGTTTAGTTCAAGAATGAAAAATGGTTTTGTAAGACATCTTATGGGTTTTGAACAATAATTAACAATGACTTGATGTCATTTTTAATATACATTTCAAAGGTAAAACATTTGATAACAATGTGTTTTTAAGATTTAAAACCATTTCATGCATCACATTTTGTAGTATGTGAAATCTGTTAAATGACAAACACAGTTATAAAATACATATCAATGATTTAATAACATGTTTTTTTCTACTTGTATTCCCCCCCCCCTTAAAGCATTTAAAATCATTTAAAACATTGATTAGGGGTATGAACTCACATGTAGTTGGTGATTCGGATGAACTGAACGGTATAGGATTGCTAGGTGTCAAGCGAGGACTTGTACACACACTACGATCCTAATGAACATATAATCACGCATATATGCATTCAATTAGTCTTAAATAACTAATTGATAATGTTAAGACATCCTAGACAAAATCAACACTTTATATAAGTGTTTTAAGCCCTAAGGATTGCATCTAAGCTAATGTGGGACAAGGTACTTGTGTTTAGGGTTCCAAAGGACCCTATATGTGAGTTTACTCCCCATATACCATCACACATGGAGTTTACGGTTGTAAACTCTTGAGTTTACGGCCGTAAACTCCCAACCATGGAGGTATGGTGTGTTTTGAAGTCCCAAATGATTCCTAGAATTATTCCAACTTGGTGGTTAAGTCCTTGGAAGGGTTTAAGGTCTAGAAATACTCCAAATAGGAGTTTACGGCCCTAAGGCCATTCCCCTTAGAGTTTACGGCCGTAAACTCTAAGTATAGGGTGTTTTTTTTGTTTTCAAGCCTCTTGCATTTGAAGGATATGTTCTAGACAATTGTTTAAAGCTAATGAGGACCCTAGGTACACTTTGGTGCCATTCTTTCATGTTTACGGCCCAAGAGAATTCCTTTGGCCGTAAACTCACTTTAATAAGTGATTTTGATGTGCTTTGGTCCTTCAATTAAGTGGAAACAATTCCTTGTAAAGGTCTAGGGCTTTAGGTGTCTTAAAAACACCCTGTTGTCCATTTCTATGGAGTTTACGGCCTAAGATACACTTGGGATGTAAACTCTCATTTGTTTGTGCTCTTTGATGTGCTTAAGGCCTTACACTAAATGGGAACTAGTCTAGATAAAAGTCTTAAAGCTTTAGAGGCCTTAAAACACCATTTTGAGTTTGAAAAGGGAGTTTACGGCCTAAGGAACTCTTGGGTCGTGAACTCCCAAAATTGGGTTATTTATGGTTGTTTTCTTGTCCCTAACACACACACATATATATATATATATATATATATATATATATGAGTCTAAGGCAGTTGTATAACATAAGGAACAAGCTAAGCTCGGTTTCGGGAGTTTACCGCCCAAGAACACCTTGGGGAGTAAACTCCTAGATCTAATGATTTATCCATCTAAATCATGTTATAAGCACAATATAAGCTTTCTAACACTACTAGAAAGAGTTACTCACATTTTGGTATAAAAACTCGAAGATCCGTGAGAGAGAAAATAGCTTTTCTCTAGTTGGAAATGTGAATAATGAATGAATTTGGTTCAGAATTCTATTTATAGTCCTGAGATATTTTGGCAGAAAATATTTTTATTCCAAAAATGATCTCTAATGTAATAGAGTGTTGGAATAAGAGTGTTGCAACAAACCCTAGTGCACCCACTCTCTTGATATTTCCTGAAGTGTAAACCCTGAATTACTCAAACTTACGCGAAAAGTCTGAAAATCAACTGTGACTGCTATAACTTCTGTTGAAGTGATATAGTTTGTATAGAATGGAAATTTCGGGTTGTCACAAAGGCCATGGTCACTAACAATCAAGGTGAGTACTTTATTGAACGACATAAAAGATAACATTGATTGTGAACTGACTAAAGTAAAATGAAATGTGATTTTACTAAAACAATTAAAGTAACACACAAAGAAACTATTTATGGGCATTCTTTAAAGGACAATTTCTTTTGTCATGACGAGCCATCTGTTTACATATAGCACACTTTCTCTTAGGTTTCGAGATTTCTTTCTCAATCATCTCTTTTCTAGATTTTAATCTTTCCCACGACTGCCACATCTGAAGGAATCTGAATATCACTAACATCAGATACTACATCAGGAATAACCACGCCTAGAAGCTTGTTGAACTCTTCTGCTCTGTTCGGTCGATCATCATTCATCTATGAATTTTTTTTCAACTTATTTTGCTCGTCAATGTATAACTTGAACTTAGCTGCATCATGACTCAAAAAAGAAACACAACAGTCAACAATATTAAAAATATCAATAGCATTCATGTCGGAATTAGAATCGTCAAAAGAATTAGTGAAGCGTCTTCTTAATAATTCTATTGGAATAACATCCCTACGCCAACGTTTCAGAATGTACTTTTCAGGAAGTTGTTCGATGCCATAAAACTTAAACACACAGAATATCTGTCTGCATAAGATCCCAGCATGTTAAAAATGCATACAAGTACATTTGAATGAACC